CCCGCCGCCCGCCGCTTCTCCGGCTGCGCTCACCACTGCGCAGGCGCGGGGAAGCCCAGTGACCGGTAGGGAGGGCGCAGGCGCCGGCCTTGACAGGGCGCGGAGCGCCCATGCGCAGCCGCCCGCCTGCGGGCACCGGGAGGGCGCCGAGCACCGAGTTAAACAAACCCCAAACATCCTCTTTTCGAGTCTGATTTTTTCCACTCGCCTGAGGTAACCTGGGGTGCGAGGGTACCAGCCTCCCCTTGACAACGGCTGTAGTGCCCGTGTGCCTTCTGAAATGCAGAAAAATTCTAGTTTACCTGTCCGGGTGGGATGCCACGCCAGCTGCTGGGCACAGACCCATTGCAGCAGCAAACAAAGGAGAAAACGCCCGTATCTGAACTAGGTGGGAAAAGTACCAACTGCTTCGTGGTTTTTTTCCTTGATGTCATCAATCCTTAAAAGGTCGCACTCTTTGCAATGTCCAGATAAACACCAGTCTTGCTTCGGGAAAGCACCCACCGGCTGCCGACACCGGGACCGTTGCGTGCCTGAAGCTGGCAGCCCTACAGACCTGAGCCGGTAACGAAGCACACGGACTGCAGAGAGCCAGGGGCCACGGCACTCGCCACACTCAACACCTTAGCAAATATATTTACAGGCAGTATTTTTTTTTTTTTCCCCTTCTTCCACTTCCACTGCTCACGCAAGCCTCCTGCCAGCATCGGGCCGGGAAACGCGACCGCGGTCGTTTATCGGGGTGTTCCCGCTGATCCTGTAACGCAAGGTTTAGGTTACGGCGACTTCCCGCTAGCAAGACATGTCACAGCAACAGGAAAACCAGTGCTCGGGCTGACAGATTAAGGGAGCTGGTACTATAATCACATCAAACCACTAAATTAGACGCTGCTACTGAAAAAAATACATTAATAGCCGACACATTTAAATGCAAGCGAGCTTATACAGTGCCACTCCAAGAAGCGCTTAATTTTCAGGATATTAAGCTGGGCAATGAATGCAAGCCCTCTTTAAATCAGGCTGCTTTTTGGTATGTTCTTCAGGACATTTACCAAGAATTTAATCATTAAGCACCCCTTGAGGGATATCAGAAAATTCACATAACCAATATATTGCCCAGGTGGTTATAACAGGAACAAGACAGTATGAAACCTGTAACTTTTTATTTAAAAAAAAAAAAAAATTAACAGCTTCAGAATAGATCAAATGTAATAACTTCTCCAAAAAATACCAAAAGGTACAGTGTAAAGCATCTTCTCGTTAAATACAAACTAGCATTTTTTGATGCATTGCATCAATGTTTTGCATCTATGTTGATGCAAAAGAATTTTTTTCTTGCATCCTGGCACATGGAAAATGTATACACAGAAACAGGATGACTGACAACACTTTATCTACTCAAATTCTAACAGTGGGACATTTTTTTCCGAAAAAAGTTTCCTACTAGTAATTAAGAAAAAACCTTAACACCATTACGTTTAGTTTGCTTCTGCTAAGGTATATTTTTCAACATTACAAATAGGGGTTTAAGTACTATATAGCATCAGGATGCACTCTGACTTTAAAACTGCTATACAAACAAAAGCCCTTCTACCGTCAAATGCTCTTCAACGTTGAAGTTCCCGGTAAATGCTAGTTAACTTGGAATTTGAGATAAAATGCAAGGAAACCAACTCTGTAAGAAGTCAAATGTAACTTCTTCAAGAACAGTAAAAGGAATTAAACCCACTTCAAACACCATAAACATTTCTGGATGCAGCACGCCAATCATTCTTTTACCTGACTGTACCAAAATCTCATTGCTATAGAACAGTGCTAAATTCATCAGTTCCTGGTCTGGAAGCAATTCTGAAAGGTGCCTCAGTTGTAGGGATCACGTAAATTCAGATTGAGGATGCCCCAGTTGTTACCAACCCGCAGATTCTGATGCACAAAGCTAAGCTTAAAGCAAGCGACTACACGCTCCTGCTTAACGCCTTACACATGCTGGCGAACCGAGGGCTTTCTTCCAGAAACGTTCCCCAGTTGCAGCCAATTTCAAGATGCCTGACCACTTCTGATCAGCTTCACCTCTTACCTCTCTTTGGTATATACAAACAAGTGCCATTAAATTGCTTGCCTCTGGCGATTTCTAAGAGCCAGAAAAAATGCTCTGGAGCAAGGTATGCAAGATGAGAATCCTTTGTCTGGGAGGGTAAGGAACTCTACCATACCACTGACTTTCTGGTGAACTGTTGTATTTATTCCTATGAAATTATTCAAAAATATGAAGTTATTGCATTAAGTTTGTGAAAAAACTTACAAAAAGAAATAGAAAGCAAAAGTTTAAGAAAAAATAGGAGACAGACAGACTCCATTTACAGAGGAGGATGATGAACTTGAGCTATTTGTAATATAAATTACTCTCATATTGCCTGTGCAGTATTCCTCCAATATGATCTGGACCACTTTTAAGGATAAGAGTAGAATAGTCTCCATCCCAATTACATATTTTGGGTCTCAGCTAACAGCTTTATTTGTGAAAGTGAGGATGTAAAACATTTAGTTTTCAAGAAAGGGAAAAAAAAAAAAAAATCGAACTTCAAAAGCACAAAGAAGTACAACCAATGCTCCCATGAAAAATGCCGCTACATCACTACCGAAGTATTCATGGACTGAGGCTCTGGGCCAATCTGCAGTCCAAAGGAAAGTTCATAGGCAGTCCCTAAAAAACCCTAAAATGGGGTTTGTAATGAAACACACACACAATCTTTATCATAACAGAGGGGTCAAAGAACAGATACTGAGCACTCCTAGACAAAAAAACCCCAACTTTTAAAATTTGTGTTTTGGTTGCAAGATGAACCAAAATCAGTGTTTGTCATGAGCTGGGCAACAGAATCTTTTCCAACCAGGTGATGGTGCCACTCCAGCGGATCAGTTTCCCCACTCTCCCCCCCCTCAGGGCATCATGTCTTTTACCATTCAAAGTAAAAGTAATAAAGGTAGATAGCTCTGCCACCATCTTAGCAAGAAGTCTGGAGAATTTCAGTGACGTATGCTGTATTCTTCTGCCCGCTTTTATCTCAGTTTCTTAGGCAGGTGGGATCAGTGCTCAAGTCCATCTGTCGGGTTAGCCCACTGTTACAAAACGGCTCCCTTTATTCTGAGACAGCGCTGTTCTTTGCTCCTTCAGGATGCCAAAACGTTCGTTCAATGTCATCCCTGTCTGAAAAATAAAGTCATTTCAACCCAAGCGTAAAAGATGTTGGGTTAATTTAATCAAAGTAATGGAGACGAGAATAACTTTTTCCTCATTCTGTATCATCACTTGACCTCCTAATTGACTCATTTAAATTTAAAAAAAAAAGGGAGGTTTAATTTAATGTCATCATTTCCCACACCGTTTAAAACTCAGATTGGACTATACATCAAGAGCTAGCATTTCTCAGAATTCATTTAGAACACATGGTACACAATGTCAAGACTGAAAGTCTACTCAAAATATCATAAGTTAAACTGAGGACAGACAGACAGAAAAAGGGAACTTTCGCTACACTCCTTTCCCCACACAGATTCTATGCAACGCCAACAAATGCAGCATTTTAACCTTGTTAATGCAGGTTGCTTTCCAGTCCATCCAGTTGAGGCAGTAGACCAGAGTCCAAAAGTTCAATTAATTTTACAATACAGTAGTAGACTATTTTTGACATACTGCTTGTTCATGGGAGGAACAAATCCAGACCGACGCACTGATCCCATGTAGTTTTCTACAGCCAGCAGTAAGGAGCTGATTATAAGAACAGCATCTAACTCTGTCACCCTGTAAGAATTCCTTCAATGACAGCACTAAGATTCCTGCACCACATCACCTGTCTTCATGAAACTTGTGAAAACTTGCTCATCTTTCAAGCTTTTATGTCATCACTTTTTTTTTTTTTTCCTAGATGCATAGCAAAAGTTGCCTTGGAAATTCAGCTGTCAGGGTTCCATGCAGGTTACACACCTGAAAGAAGCTCATCCCTGAATTACGCACACTTGCTGATTCAAGCACAGCAGGAACACCAGAAGGCTTTTAGAAATATTCAACAATTTAAATCCCGTTTAAAGCATGTGGGCATGCAAGACATGAACTAGAGGAACAGGAACAGTGAGTTTAGTTACTTGCTTGAAGTTACATAGCAAGTTAGTGGAAGAACTGGAAGTGGCAACAAGAAGTAGTCACTAGTTCCCTCTTTCTGTCACTAGTTGTCTAGGAGGAAAGTGCCTGGATCACTGGCTTTAATCCATCTTGAAACTACTTCTACAGTTAAGGAAAGAAACTGCATTTACCTGTTTTCCAACACTATTAATATCAAACTGCAATGGAACCCCTTTGGGAATCTTCTTCTCTTCTGATTGGTCCCTCTTCATCAGAAATGGTGGCACGGGAGTACAAGTTAATCGTAATTTCTGGGAACTGCGAAAGAAGAATGTTACAAAGGACATAGTGAATATGGGTTCTATGCAAAAAAGCCTTAATGCTGATAGAGAGATGAATTTTTCATCAAGCCATTCGATCAGGCTGGCTGAATATCTGGAGGGCACAAATTCAAGAAGGTAAAAGTCGGGCAGAACTACAAAAGGGTAGCATTTGTTATTGTTATCAGACAGCAAGTGTCCCAACAGGAAGCGATCTTATCTTTTCTCTCTCAATCCTACTGACAAACACATAATTTGCGGTTAATCATTCCCATAAACACAAAAAATAAAAATTGGTACAATCTTCCTTACAGATAAAATGCTACTAATGAAAAAAGCTACTCAAGAGATTTTTAAAATAAAACACCTCATGAAACAACAGTACCATCAACTTCCCAAAGACAAACACAGCAATGCTTTCTTTAAGCGCAACTCTACCAGTATCTTTATGAATCAGGGAGGAACTATTACCATCACTCATCAATTAGATGCATTTTCATTCAGATACGGGAGGAAAACAGCTACAATACAGTCTGACTTGGAAGAGGCAGACAAGGTGAAAATCTACCAGCCTCACCACTGTTCAGCTCCATACACCACATCAAGGTCCTAACTGGGAGATGCCTTGAGAAATCCAGCTGTAATATTATTCAAACACAGCTCAGAAACACGCAGAAAGGGGCCAGATTTAAAAGTCTTCACAAGAAGCTGTGACCGTGAGGTCATCTGAAATACTATCCGCGAGGAACTTGCTAAATGGCTCAGAACAGCGATTTCAGCTATGTTAAGAACATTTCAGTACTTTTTTGAAAACTCACATTGGGGTTATGATTGCTCCTGGGTTGTCAATGGATACAGTCAGAATGCCTCCACTCGTGGTAGAAGTTCGCCATCTAGTTTGAAAACACAGAAATCACTTAGGAAAACACTGCAGAAATTTCAGAGTATCTTTAAATATGTGTCCAAAACACTGGCTAGTAAAGAATGTACAAACTTTCAGAATATAGGCCAGTATGAAGACCACATGCAGTCAAACAATCTACAAGAAGCTCGGCCATTGATTCTTGTATCTTTTACATTACCTAAACCTATTCAGGTGAGTGCTAAATCACATGCTGGTAAGGTGTACCAGAACTACAGCACTGACTGGAACGTTCGCTTTTTTAAAACATTGTTTCCCTGCAACAGATGGGACCAAAACGGTCCTCACAGCAAACCAAAGAGGTGACAGACTGCAGGTCTGCGGCATACGCAGGTTACTCAGCCTGTCGTGTTACCAACAGACCAGTTGTGAAGAGCCTGGCAGGCACAGAATGATACAGGAAGAATATGTGGGGGGAGAACCGCGTGTCCACTTTGTGACCTGCCTTGCTTATTTCCAAACTGCTTCATAGGCTTATATATATGTTAAATAAAATGGAAATTACATCAAGAGCTCAGGAGAACATTGACATTTGAATTTTTCTTCCCAGTCTATGCAGTATTCATGAGTGGTAGAGATTAGTCTGATCCTCTGAAGCTACCACCTTCCCCCTCAGTCCTGCAAGCATCTTACGCAAACAAACTCGTCCTGGTTAAATCAGAAGATAATTTAGGAAATTACTGAGGATAGGGGGAGGATCACTGTCACTCAGTTGATATGCCTAGAGGGGAAAAAACAGCCCATTCAATTATCACAGCCAGGAAGCCCGAACTAAAATGAGAATCATACAAGTAACCAAACTGAATTTTTCCAAACTAAATACTTACTGACGAGTTCTCTTTACTGTCTGATTATCAAGATCATCTGTTGACTGCACTTGAGCCTGCACCTGAAAACATATCAATACAGACACTGGATTTGAATACTGTTTCAATTCCCATTGCAGCAGCTGGAAATACAGCAGTTCAAGAACGGAAGTTTAAAGCTGTTTGTACACTCTGCACAAACGGGGTTGTACTTTCAGGGGGACTTCAAAGATAGCTATCCTATTACCGTTGAAAGACATTAGAAAGAAATTACTTTAAGAACACAAAATGATTTAAATAAAATTGTCAATGACAGTAACTTAACCAGTAGTGACGGAAGCATTTTTGGGGACTACGCTAGCAAACATACACTCTACCAAGACACACCAAAATGTTACCAGGCCAGCAAGAAAAACCTGGCTAGTTCCTAACCTGATCAATGTTAACGTACATAATATCCAATATGCCATTAAGTCCCACTCCTGTTTTAAAGGACTTTGGTTTTGTTTTTCTTCCTTCTGATCCTGTCTGTAATTCTGCAATCCAGCAGCTACCTACAGTCACAACGATGGCAGATGTAGAATGAGGGCACAAATGAAAACCGAGAACACCACTATCATTCACTGCACATTCTTCATTCTCTTCATAATCTCTATCAGATTCTAAAACATGTTTCTACTCTATCCTTCACCCGAAGGTAACTTTTGAAAGCTGCACAGTGCTTTCTAACATATACTTTTAAAAGGAAAAATTAATACCTTGCAACTACTGTCAAACACTGACAAGTTCCATGCCCCTCTGAACAGTCCAGCTACACTGGAACAGGAAGCAAGACTCAGCAGGTTACAGTAACTGAAGAGGACAAGTGCATTTCCCTAGAAGAATCCGTGCCTATTCCCCAGTCCACCTCAAGTTTCTACTCAGATTTGGTATTTAAAGTTGATTCACTAATATCAATGTTACAGGTTAGCTTAGAACCTGTGGCACAATTTTGTTGTTGTTTTCAGTAATTTTTATTACCTTCAGGCCCCTTCTAAACAGGAAAGTTGCTTGACGAGTGTCCTTCTGCTGATTTAGTTTGTTTCCAATTCTGGCAAAAGTGGACGGCATGTTATTCCTGTAATATTTATTAAAATACAGTTATGAAAGGTTCCACAGATAACATCTTAGAGAGGCCACTCTGAAAGTCAGGAAACTGGCAATGTATTACTCATAAATGGAGAATCACTTCTGTTACATAGAAGCCTAGCGCTCCTACGTCACAGGACAGTGTGGTTATTAATTCTGCTCTTTACTTTGTTCAGTATCCTCCAGCACTTGAAACATTGCTGATTAGATGAAAAAAAGGAGCAGTCTTGATATGTATAAAGAAAGTTTGTTTACAGTTTCCGCAATAGTCATATAGTGAAAATTTTCATCATGGAGACCAGTTAAAATGCAGTTCATAACAGCCATGTTAATTCCAGCACAAATAAAACATGCAATAGCTTCCAGGAAACTGAAGATGGCACCAGCTTCCACAAAGGCATTTTATTTAGAAAGTTCACTAAACCGTGGCTGCCACTTCAGAGCTACAGAAATCCACACACTGGCCATTTCCATACAGGCTGCCTAGGATTTAAATGAAGGCAGAACACCAGGTGCTCACAAATAGAGGTACTTCCTGAGTCCTCTACATGGTAACAAATATCTGGCTTTGTATCGAGACCATATTTGCCCCATGCTCAGCTTCCAGATTTGTAGAACTTCATACACACGATAGTCTTGACCGTACTACTACTGCCAGTACCTACCGTCTTCTCTTGGACTCCGTCCTGTCAAACAAGACTCACTATGGAAAGTCGTCAAGAAGAGCAGACTTGGTATTTTACCTTCTGTTTAGTGGGGCGGGCCTCCTGAGGGCTGGAGCTTGTTTTCTCTGCATTTCTGATTGTCTCTGCAGGTTTGTTTTCTTTTTCAAAACTGGGTAATTCCGCTGTGCGTTCTTAAAAAACAATAAATATAGATAGCATTTATGTATACTCTATGCACACAAATGCTTTTCTTTCAACTTGTTTATAAACGGCACATAGAATACATTTGGCTTTGCCTGCCTTTCACAGTCTAGTACAATTTGAAAATACCTCCTACACTTTCATGAATTCTATATTCCCCTCAATACCAGGCAAAAAAAAAACCAAAAACACAAACCAACAAATAGCAGAGCTTAGCAGCTCCTTTTTGATTACTCTATCTCCCTAAACTGACAAAATACGTGCTCCACACATCTTTAAAATTACTCTTCTTCACAAATCCAACAGCAATCCCCGTTCTACAATACTGAATGAGATGGAGCAGGCAACAATGCACTGGAGGAGTGCAGAAGAGGGAGCCTACTGATGGAGTTAAGTGTTTTGCAGATACTTCCATTTTTATAACAGGCACATGCTTAACACCTGCATGTCAGCTGAATCATTGGTTTGTAACAAAGCAATGCAAAGACAAGAAATCCTAGTAAGTGAGCTTTTCTTGTAAAAATACAGTAACTACCTCCATACTCGCAGAGAATATACTTCTGTATTTCAATTTTCATGACTTGCAACCCAATTAGGTGTTAAAATACTTCCAAATCTAGTCATTAATCACCCCCCTCAAAACAAACAAGAACTCAGCTAATGCATCCCCAATTTAATAAAAGGTTGTATCAGATGTCTCCATTTTATATTTCAGTAGCACTGTTCTGAAGCCATTGTGTTTCACTTTTTTAATCTGTTTTTACATGAACCACTGGAATTGCATTAATTACCTTCTCGCTAAGTGGCTGTCTGTTCAGAGGACTAATTCCTTTGCGTGAACCCATTGCCTTCTTGGCTGCCAAGCCAGTTATAACTCCGTAAGAATGCTTCTTCCCTGCTATCTTCTTTCTGCGTCCCAAACGATTTTTACCATAACCTGCAACAAGCATGAAGAGTTCAACAATTCTTATTGCAAGAAAAAGCTTATTGCTTTAAGATGCTATGCAAGCAACACAAGTTATTTAGCTGCACACTTCAAGCCTTAGAGCAGAAGCTATCTCTACACTTGAAGACGATTTGGCCATTTAGTTATTTTAGCAGGTCTGGCCCAAGCCCTAGCATAACAATAATCAGCTTCTCATACAGATCACAGTCTTGCTCTACTTCATTGCATTAATTTCTGTTGAAAATGTGTTATTTGACATGTCTACAGGGACAACTTAAGAGTCATTCTGGCATAGAAAACTACCAAAATACTCCAAAATGGAACTTCATCAAGTGCTGAATAATACCAAACCAAACAAAAAAACTCCAGCTCCCCACCCATTCAGCAAACTTTAAATTACCAGTTTAATTTAAAGAAAAGGGAAAAAAAAACAACTTCAAAGCCTATTTATTTAGATCAGTGGTTCCCAAAACATGACTTAAGAAAAAAAGAACATAGCAATTGGCCCACAAAACCATATTAAACAGCGTATGAATTGCATCACATTTAAAGTGTTTTCAATTAGAAGTCTGCATGGCAGTCTGGATGAAACTGAGAACTGAAAGCAGCCTTTGAATGTAAAAGGCTTGTAAGTCTGAGGTCTGTAGTATAAATATCTGAAATCTTCAGTTACAAGAGTTTGGTTAACCTTGTCTGGAGCCATTTAGCTTCACGCTATGAATACAGACCATGCTTTAGTTTTATCCCCAAGTATCATCCTCTTTAGAACCTCAGACTGCAAGATAAATTTAAGGCTAAGGAGTCAGCTCTACAGCAACAGACACATCTAGCTTTGACATATCTGAATTCTTAGCATCGATAATAAATCTGTGCTTCTTCAAGAGACAGGAGCCATGACATGAGGTAAGCCATTGATCAGAACCCAGCTTAGAGGAATTTGCCATGGAGAAACTGCTACGTACCCACATTTTGTGGATGGTTAGCAAATGCTCTTCTTTTCAAACAGAAAAGCTGAGAAAGTGGCTTACTTAGGCTGAAAGGGACCTCATGAACTCTCTGGACCAACCTCTGCTCAAATAAATGGCAACCTCAAAGTTAGCTCAGACTGCACAGGGTTTTGTGCAGTTGCATTCTGTGTATCACCAAGGACAACTTTTATTTAAATGAACAATGTTCTTCTCTCTATTTCTCCCCTCAAAAGCTGAAAAGAGTCCCAGCTCAAGTTCCTTGCTTCTTTCCAGAGAGTTTGGCAGCCACAAGGAATCGAGTGCTGTCAAACATTTGTGGTTTCTGTAGCCGTCCACAAACAACAGAGGATTTACTACTTATCAGAATAACTTCAATGGCAACAGAGCAGCAATAAATCTATTGGTCATAGGCTACTAATAACGAGAATGCTCAGAAGAACTATTTACCTTAAGGTACCAGAGATACCTTCTGCTCAAAAAACAATATAAAAGAGGTTTGCTTTCAATGGGAGAAAATGTGTGGAGCTGTATAGGAGGGAGCCGTTAAAGCTATTCACAACGTTTCAACATGTCATGAATCTGGCAATTTTGTAAAAAAAAGTTTGCTTTTTCCTAGAACAAGGGCAGGCAAGGAGGGAAGGTTCCAAGAGAGAAAAGTAACCGCCAAGACGGTTGTATTTAGAGTTTTATATTTGCAGCTCAAGTTCCTCCTAAAATTCTAAATTCTAATACTTGCTTCTTTTGCGCCCTTTGGATCATAAACAATTGCGTTTGACAACAGCGGTCATAAATAGAAGCCTCTATGTTTGGTAATCTCCAACTTAAATTCACTTACCCTTGCACCTACACAAATATTCTTACACTTGGGCTGACTGACGTAAAATATTTTCCTGCACTGACACCAATTTAGTAAAGATGCACAAATTAAGTAACACTGCTATGTTGCCCTGTATAAAAAGCAAAACTCCTCTGAGCCCTGAGCAACACGACATTCCACTGTTCCCCAAAGACATTTGTGTCTAAGATGCTAACTACGAGCTGCTGCTACACATATATTAAGCAGCGACAAAGATAAAATGGGGATCCCTGTGAATACACCAGACAGAGGCATATTTGTTTTAAATGAATGCTTCTAAACAAGAAATTGCGTGTATTAACTTAAACACTTCATTAGCTTGGATTGAGCTGGTAAGCTTTCCGATTAGATAGTATTTTTCCGTATGTTGATAATCCAGTGCTAAAAAGGTACTTTTCAAAATTAAACATAAGCAAAACCAGTCTACACTTCAAGCAGGTGCTGGCCACGTACTGGACTAAAACCTGGGAATCATTTTAGAATACGACTCCTGTTTATCAAAAAAATCCCCTGACAGTTTCTCAAGGAATCTACAGTAAAGCTGTAATTGAGCACTTTTCTTCTCTTCACTCCCTGCCTATATGATTTTTTCCCACTTTCGTATCGCACTGTAAAAACATTGGCTCAAGAAGGTTGACGTGGTGCTTCCTTTGCATCCCAAGGTCCTAACAAGAAAAGCCAACTCAGACACTCTGCATTATCCATTTATATATCCCAGAGGCAGCGTTACAGTTTGCAGTAACAGCTATTTTGGGGAGGCCTACTAGGAGAATTCTGCCTAGCAAATATAAATATGCTGGCTCTTTTGCACAAAGCTCTGAGCTCTGGCAAGGCCTCCACATTTCCTAATATACAGGCTTTGGCATAAGCACTCTTTCTATCCATCTCTGAGAAGGGACAAAGTATCAACACAAATTCCAAAATTAAAATACATTTCAAAAATCAGAAAGACAGCCAATTCTTCCTTGAGTGAAATAGTCTATCACGCACCGAAGCTCCCTGTTGGCCAAACACATCAATGACTTTCTCACTCTGAACCAGAAACAAAACCAAGCATAAATGGAACACAAAGAACTGAATTATAATCAAAACTGCATATGACACTATTTGACGGACACCTGAATTGACCATGTCAATCCACACATTTTCATTAGGGTACATTTCAGCTCAAAAAAAAATATTGCACAGTCCACGTTATGTTTGACATACACACCTTTCTGCTGTTGGATTCCCCACTTGGAGCCTGGTGTCCTGAACTGTCGAGTTCGATTCTGCTGAAGCCCTCTTTTCATTTTGGGGGAATACTGTTTTCTCTCTTCTTTCTTGTTCAGTTTAATTATATCATCTGTAAGCAGAAAATAAAAAAGAGAAATTTGACACATTGCCGACGTATTCTAGTTCTGAAGAAAAAACCCTAGCAGGTTGGAGTCATGGGAAACAGACCAGTTAATCTTGCAAAGCCAGCACATACAAGCTAAGGTTCCAGAAACATCTCTCCAAGATATCCAGTCCCTGTTAGTCTTACAGTACTTCCTTTATAATATAGTGCCCTAGCAAAAGAGAAGCAGTTGCATACATCCAGAACATCCAAGAGACCTGAAAGATCATGGCATCCCGCCCAACATGAAATTTTAAACTGAATGACTGAAGGTAATCCCACCACCACCAGACTTTGCAGATTCCAGACAAAATGTCAATTCAAGCCTTAGTTCTTTCATCCTAAGTTACTTAAGAAAAATCACAACAAAAGAACTCAGCCTATCAGTTATCTTCATGTGTTCACTGAGGTTGAGATAATGGGGAAAAAAGCAAGCAAAACTTCTCTCCCCACGAATCTGCAATCCAAAGCAATCATTGTATCTATTGTCCAAGAAAACAATGTTGAACAAATTATTAATCAGTTTAAGAATATGTGTAAGATAATAAGCTGATGAAAAGTGAACAGCAGGTCTGTCAAGTGCAAATCATGCCACACCACTTTGATTTCCTTCACTGGCCTGGTAGCTGGCTCAGGAGGTAAGAGTCAAGCAAAAGATGTGGCACGTTTTATTTGACTGTTAGGTTGTTTACAAAAACACCATAAAGAAAAATGTCAAATTATGTTTACTGCATCTAGATCAGGTAAGCACAACTGATAAAAACACTGCGTTTCCACAGGGAGCTACCACAAACACGTGGACATCCTTTTTTGAGTCAGGGAGAGATAGGAACGGGGTTACTGTGTTTAACAGAGTTCAAATGGACTTGGATGGGGTAGAACGGAGAGAACAGTGTCAAAAAAAAAAAAAAAAAAAACCAACCTTAAAAATCACAACATGTTGTTATCCAATGTTTTGTATCCTGCTGAGGTAAAGCTAAGAGAAAATCAGCGTACTTTGCTGCACAAGTGACTGAATATTCAGAAAAAAATCAGGATATGGAATACTGATACAGGTCACTCAGGGTTTGATTCCTATAGAATCTTCTT